CCCCCCCCCCCCCCCCCGTCCGGCGGCCCCCCCCCCCCCGCCGAGGCCCGCCGAGGGGTTCGCGCCCCCCTGCCCCGCACCTCGCGAGCCGAGCAGGTGATTTTGGGGGGGGGGGCGGGCGGGCGCAGATGTGGGAAAGCCGTGGCAAAGGTGTGGTTCTGGGCGCGAGGGGGTCTTGCTCACAGGCGGGTGGATGCAGCCTAAGGGGCGGGCGGCTTATCTCCAGCAAGAAGCTTGTGTAAGTAAGTTAGGAGCTAGCTGTGCTTTTCTTCCCGTTTGATTCGTATCGCTGCGTGCAGTTTCGGGGTGAGCAGAAGCTGGTGTCGGAATGGTAGTTCTTAGCCATCAAGAGTGAACTACGGTAGTTTTGGACGACTGGGTGATTCCTTAAACAAAAGTGATCTCTTGTTTTTACAACCTCCTCACTTCCTTTCCCGTCTGCACGATTGCCATTTCTCTATTTTTCGGTTGCGGGAAACTGCATGTGATAAAAAATCCATCTTTGCCACTTGATCTGCTTTTCAGAAACTCCCCGTGCTGGTGTGAGAGTTTTTGGTCAGCTTTCCCAGATAGGGTGGTCAGGAGTTCCTTCTGGCTCCCTTTAAACAAGCTCTCTAGGCTATTATATTTCCACAAGCTTTTTTCTAGGTGAACCTTGAGACATACAGGCCTTGAGGCATATAGGTTGATGACATGCTGATGCAGTCTTTAGATGCTGGATTACAGCTGTTTTGTTTTCTTTTTTTAAAGAAGTTCAATGTCCTCCATGGGGCTTTTTCCTGAAAGCCTTTATTGCGTGCTGCAAACCTATCCAATTATTTTTGGTTAGATGTCTTTTGCTATGACGCACCAGCTCTGTGCTGTGGGGTTTCTTTGAAGTTGCCTCTCAATGACTCCTCGAAGGCTCTGGCAACTGGCTTTTGGTCAGCCTTCCCCAGCTGGGTGCCTTTCACATGTATTGGACTGCATCTCCCTGTTACTCCTGTACAGCTGGAGGATATCTGGTGAGGGAATGCCACTTTGGGTGTCAAGGGTTTCTATTAGACGAAGGGGATGACTGAAAGTTCATGTGGTTCAAAAGGTGCTGTAGGAGGAGAGCTGTGTTAGCCTATGGTAGCCAAAAATCAGGAGGAGTCTGGTTCTGACTAACAAATTTTATTAAAGGCATAAGCTTTTGTGATCTGCAGCTCACTTCATCAGATACATAGAGTGGCTAGGGGCGGGGAAGGGAGGAGAAGATAGTTGGTTATGCAGTTGCAGGTTAGGTATGAGACAAATTATGTATGAGACAAATTACTTTATCAGTTAACTATTGTCATGTGTTAAAAACTCATTGTGTTCACTGAGGCCTTTTGAGAAAGCCTGAAACCTTCTGATGTATATGAGCTCAATTGTTTGCTCAATGACGCTGTTAAAGTCTCTTTTTCCCAAAATGGTCACTTTGAGATCCAAAGAGGCTGAAATACTGTGATATTTCTTTGTCCATGTTCTGAGTCTGACGTCAAACTTGTACCCATTTATTCTTTTGCCCAGCTTGTCCTGTTTGTCCTATGTAGAATCCAGAGGGGCATTGTTGGAAGAGGATGGAATGTATCACATAAGATGATGAACGTGTGATAGCACTTCTCACCTTTGTGTCTTTGGGCCTGTGTTGGTGCTATTGGAATAGCTGTATTGATTAAACAAAGTTTTGTTAGAAAAGGTGCTACCAGATTCTTTCTGTGGTTCAGAAGGATGTAGGCTTTTGACTTGCTTTCACAGCCCACACTGGACTCTTTTGTAGCCTCAGTTACTCATTTGTACAGTGAGAATAAGCTTCCAGGGATTGCTATGGTAGGAAGCATAAGGAAAAAATAAGGATTTATTTTGTAAAGGTTTGGTAATCAATGGGAAGAAAGCCCCATAAGATCCTTTCTCACTAGGATGTTTATGGTAGTGTTGTGTAGATGTTGTCCTTGTGGTTGGGGGAAATCAGGAATGTATACCTATCCATTAGTTTAAGACACACTAAGGCACAAATAGCATATCGTTCCTATTGAATGATACATTTGCATTGGCATTTTCTGTCTAGCATATTGCTAGAATTGCTAGAGAAGGGGGCATGTTTCCAATTGCTTCATTATGATGATGCTTGGCAGCAATTTGGTCTTAATTTCCTACTGGAAGTTTCTAGTATGAGTTTGTTGCTCTTTCTTCTATGCTGCTTCTTTCCAAGATATATTGGACTAGTTAGGACAATACCTGAACTGGGCAATCATGCCTGCCTGTGTCAAAGCAAGTAACCATACCACGGTCACCTCTGAAGAAAGAGGTGAATCAAAAGAACAGCAGAGATGGGCCAGCAGCAGTTTTATAAGCAATGCCATGAATTCTCATGAAGGCAGATCTCTCTAGTTCAGAAATGCATCTTATATTTGAATGCAGTGTGTGTGTGTGTGTGTGTGTGTGGGTGGGTATATGTGTGGGTGGGTATATGTGTGTGTATTCATTCTGTAATATGTAGATATGCAGAATAGATGCCCTGCCAATATTGGACTTCAGCTCTCAGAATTCTCCAGCCGAAAAGGCCATTTCTGAGCATTTGGGGAATTTAAATCCATGTATCTGTAGATATAGTTTTTACAATCCCTTCCCCCCATTTTTCTATTCAATTAACAAAACATCTTTTTTTAAAAAATATTTTATTGGAGTTTTAAAATTACAAAGTTAAAAGTTAGAAATGAAAAAGAAAATTG